TGTACTCTTACTCCCACAACCAACACTAGCCAGAACCATCCCTGAAGGAAAGAAAGATTCACAATAAAACATTCCCAATGCCTGAACCAGTTTAGAAGGATACCATGTTCAACAATACTGAAAGCCATTGAGAGATCCAAAGTATAAGGATGGTTACATGATCTCTGTCCTAATTGAACACAAGTCATCTATAAGGATAGGCTGCTTCCATACCAAATCTTGGCTTGAAACTTGATTGAAACAAGTCTAAATAATAGCTGCAGTCTGATTACTTCTCTAAAAGGGAAGGTTGGAGAGAGAGTGGTAGTTGTCTAAAGCTGTTGTTTCCAAGGATGACCTATTGAGGAGAGTCTGTACACTGCTTCTTTTAAGGTTGGAGACCTAATTTCTCCCTCACACTGTAGCGTGGACCCAACCACAGAACATTTCTTTGGCCACTTTCATAACATAGGAGCTTTCAGCATAGAAATGTCTTAGCTAACAGTGAAGAATCTTATATTTCAGATATAATTAAATGATCATATTTATACATAGTGAGAATATCAATAAAAAGATGGTTTACATGGGTAAAATCAGTCTATCTTGATTCCAAACACTCTACTTAAAAGTCAAGGAAATAATTACTTGATTTTTATCTGTAGACATATCTTAGATGCAGCAATAAAAATATGAGAGTGATTTTGACAATTATTTTGTCAGAAAATTCTATGAATCTATCCACTATTAATATCCAAATATTAAGATACATTCAATCTGGAATCAACAAGCTATTTCACAAAGATAAAATTCAACCATACATTGTAAGTCAGATATAATGAAGCATCATGGGTAGAAAACTAAAATAAAGATATGACTTACGCCTGTTGATCCCAATGTATCTTATTAACTTTTTCCCACTGGGAAGTAAGTTGAGTAAGCTTTTCCTCAATTTTCATAGCTTCACCATGTGTGGCACTTTTCAGAACTGCAGGCTTCTTGTTCTGAATGATTTCAATTTGATTTGAATATCTCCCTACGGTGTCCTTAATTTTCTACAATTCAAGAGTGGAGGAAGACAAGGAAGAAGAAGGCATACAGATGTTGAATTATTAAATACATTTCTACTTCTATAATACTTCTATATTTTGACCAAAAGGAAAAAATGAAATAATTCAATCAATCTATGTTAATAGAGGAGAGAGAGAAATGAAAATAATTAAATTGTGTTTGGCATTTGGGAGAATCTTGCATTAAAAAAGAAAAAAAACTGGAAATGAAAGAAAGGATTTTGTTCCTTTCATTGTACATTATCTAATATTAGTCAGAAAGACTAATATTTCAAGCTTCTATTGTACTTGTGGAGTATTTTAAACATCTGAATATTATTTCTAGACTGATTTAATAAGTAATTAGCACATTGTCATTTTAATATTAACAGGAAATGTTTTGTCCTCCGTAACAAAATTGCACTGAAGATAAGATACCACAAATGCAAGAATCAGGTCAATGCTACAACTGTCTATATTTTTACCCTCACTTTCATTTGCACATTCTTTCCTAACTGTAGAGAATATATCCATTGAAGCCAACATTATTTGATAATCATCTGTTTCTTGGCAGCAAAAATCCCAAATGAAACCAGATTTTAGCAAAAACAGTTGTGTTCAATATGTGTGCTTTGCAAAGAAAACAAACAATGCCCTATAGAAGTGTCAGAATAAATAAATTTGATTTCCCTGACTTTAAGATTTAATTTCACATTAAGTTGTCGGTAATGTTATTTCTTTGGTATTCCTGTGTAGTTTAAAAGTCAGATTGTTGACTATAGAAGCAGTCTATATTAATCTTATTTATTTACTAAATTTCCAGAGATAACTCTTGGTGGCTTACAAATATTAAAACTACTACATGTTAAAATAATAAAACAGTAAAAGATACTGGTAAAAGATGGGGAAGAGGGGAACACAAGTTCATGGAGAGTGTCAGAGTATTCATTAACTGGCAGAGACATAATTAACAGAGACAATGAATAGGCATAGCAACTAAGTCAGCCAATGAGGGCTGTTTGGAAATTGAAACTAGAAGTAGCCTAGGCGTGGCTCTGTATTTAGCTCTGCAGCTCTGAAGCTATGTTAAGCTCTGAGTCTGTCTATTGAAAATGAAACTGCTTCTCTCCTCTGCTGTGTGTCTTGCTTGCCTGCTGAACTAAAGTGAAACTGATGTCTGTTTCTCTGCTGAAGTTGAATTGCTGTTCTGCTCTGAACCTGTAACATGTCTGCTTCTGTTTGAGTTTGCTCTATGTTGGAGAAATCTACAACTGGCATTGTAAAATTTACTTTATATGTTTATAGAGAAGTTAAATGAAGCCTCAGTAATCTGTGTTTACTTTTCTGGCACTGAATTTACACTTCAGTACTCTGAACAGAAAGAGGTGGGGTTTGATGTCACCAATTGTTTTATAATCTGACCTTAAGAAATGCATTTTACTTTAATTGTGAGTATAAAGATATGAAAAATTAGGGAAGCCCATTAATAGATTGGGAAATCATTGGGAACAAAGTCCTTATTATTCCTCAAAAACCAAGAATTTTCCATCACCAGCATTCACTTTATTTGATAGTATAAAACATTTTCTACATGTTCAGTTCTTCTACCATTTCTGTATCAAGTATCTATCAAACATTTTTATCCTCAAACATTAAATTGGAAAGTTATTTCATTTGCATAGGTTGACAGATTGCACTTATTCCTAAAAAAGAAATAGAGGCATTTGGTTCTCATTTATGTTGTTTCTTCGGCTTATTTGGTAGAAACCAGATGTGCATTTCTTTCATAAAAATGCAAATGCATTTTGGAAAACATTGTCCTGGATGAATACCAAATTTATAATCATCTTTCAGTTTTTTATTCAAATACCATAAATGTAAGAAGCAGAGCTTCTCGTATTCATCAATGAAAAAGAAAAATTCTTTGTCAAACTACAGTTTTTAATATATGCTATAACTATGCATTATAATATACCTATAACATTCATAAATCCAGTATATTTAAAATTAAAAAGGCATTCTTGCTGGGCAGTGACTACAGTGATTAATGAGTAATTACCATAAAACTTATTGCCTACATAACTATCATGGTAAAGAAAGAGGAGGGAAGAGGGAGAAGACACCATGGGGTGAAATAAATGGAAGAAGAACAAAGGTGAAAGGTAATTATTTTCTCCTCAGATTCATTTTGAAAGGAATCTTCTCTTTAATTCATAATTTGTATTTTATGCTAATCTATGAAAACAACATACACTTTGACTGAGAAGATCTAGTTTCTAGATGATGTATAAAAAATAAAAAAGGCAAAAACACAATAATTGCAGATAAACATGATAGAGAAAGCAGGCAAGACAGGGATTCTGGAATTATTTTTAATTCATCTACCAAAAATGTTTAAAGGAGTCAAATATTGTATCTCTTTGTATATATCTTACTGTTCTCCCATTGTGTTCTGTATCTCTGTGCAGGCCCTGGGACAAGCTGCTTTAAGTCATGTGATCAGAAATGAGCAGAGAGTTTAGAATGGAGAGATTTCCAGCATTCTGATTTGTTGCTCTCTGTGTCAAGGGAATGCCCTGAGTGATTTTCTTTTTCCTCAGAATTATTTCTTCATAGGTTAAAATTGTTCATTGTTTTGTGGAAAAATATATTTCATTTATTATGCAAAAAGTAGTCATAAAATATAGGAATCCACATGGTTATTTAAAAAAATACAGAATGTGGATCTGTGATAAAAAATAGGTCTTTGAAAAGGAATCTTATAGGAAATGTTAGGATGTAACAAGCGGATATGGTTGTTAGATGTAATTTAATCTTTGTAGTACTTGAATATTTGTAGATTCAGTTGCATATAGATATGTGTCCATAAATGTGCATACTTAACAGAGGTGCATATGTGTGGATATGAGAGGGCCAGCTTGGTTATTGGATAAGGCATTAAGCTAGAAACTAGGAGACTGTGAGTTCTAGTGTTGCCTTACACTCAAAGCCAGCTGAGTGACCTTGGGCTAGTCACTTTCTCTCAACCCTAAGAAACAGGAAGTGCCATGTCAATTCTGAAAAAGCTTGCCAAAAAACCATAGGGACTTGTCCACATAGTTTCTAAGGCTCAGAAGAAGAAAAAAATCTACTAGAGAGTGACTGTATTTAATTAATATATTTATTTAGCCAAACATATTTTATGCCTAATTTTGAAGAGATTTGAAATGGTGCAAAATAGTAAAACATATTCGAATTTTGTAAAATAATGTTTCGTCACCTATTTTGCTACATTGAAAATTGTGCTTCCCAATTTTTTTAGAGTGAAATTTTTTACTGTAAGTAGCTGAACGCATTATTTAAATAGTTTGATTTCTTACCTTGAGATCATCTTCTTTTCTAACAAGATTTTCATAGTCCTTTCCCTGAAGGGTGGAAGAAATAAGGAAGTCTTCCAAGGTGGACAAAGCTTGTAGAAGTTGTTGGATCTCTGCCAGGTATGCAGAAGGAACATAAGAAGTTTCCATTGGCATACCTTCAGTCATCAGTACAGTAGTCTCCTCATGAACAGTTTGCTATTACAGATATACAACAGAAATCTTTCCTTAGATTGATTATATAAGAACATATTTTTACAAAGCAAATTTGTATCAAGGTTTATATTATATGGCACAATTGTGTAATTGTCCTTTTTAATAGTCTACATATAAGCTTTCTTAATATTATACATATAACCATCCAAATTAATTTATTTAAATTCAAGTTTTTATGCCTCTGATTCATATCTTGGATATTTGTCTGAATAAAGAACAATTGCAAAATAGGTCATGGTCCCAGGATTATGAAGACAAAACTGAGGAATATGTTTGAGTTAGATAGAAAACGCGTCAAGGAAAAATGTACTTTTTCTGTATGAGAGAAGTGCAGTACAGGTTGAGGGTAGATGATCACTTAAACATGAGTCAGCAGTGTGTGGCAACAGCCAAAAAAGTTAATAAAATCCTTGTTTGTATAAACAGGCATAGAGTCAAAATTATGTGAAGTATTAGTACTGCTTTATAAATCCTTAGTAAGACCACATCTGGAATGCTGCATCCAATTTTGGGTACCACATTACAAAAAAAGATGTTGAGACTTTGAAAAAAAAAAGTGCAAAGAACAGCAACTAAAACGATTAAAGGCCTGTAGATAAAAACATATAAAGAATGGTTGCAAAAATTAGGTATGGCTAGTCTAGAGAAAAGAAGGACTAAGGGTGACATGATAATATTTTAAGGGGCTACCACAAAGAGGCGGGTCAACTTATTTTCCAAAGCACCAGAAGGCAAGACAAGAAACAATGGATGGAAACCAATCAAGGAGAGAAATGACCTAGAATTAAGGAGAAACTTCCCAACAGTGAGAACATTTAACCTGGAACAGCTTGCCTTCAGAAGTTGTAGATGCTTCATAAGAAGAAGTTTTTAAGAAAAGACTGGACAGCCAACTGTGTCTATAGGGTCTTCTGCTTGAGCAGAGGGTTGGACTTTCTAACTCTATTCTGATTCATTGGTAAGGAGGGTGTGCAAGGGTACATGAGAAGAATGACATGGGTCAGGGAAGGTTGGGAAGGTGCATGAGGCTCTGTAAGGATGCACAAGAATTACAGTGCAAGTCAAGAAGGGTAGAGGATGTGTGGGGTTGCAAGAGATAAGAGCAGTGGTGCAGATTGAAAAGGGTTGGGTGTGCAATGATGCAAGGGAATGTGCAAAAGGCATGATGCAGATCAAGGAGGGTGCATAGGAGTGTGAGAGGTGCACAAGAGATTCCATGGTGGTTTGCAAGGATGTGATACAAATCAGGAAAGGTTTGCAGTGGTGCAGCATGGATCAATGAGGATGTGTGGAGATGTGCAAGAACCAGCATGATATGAAAGCAGGGTTGGGGGGGGGTGTTGCATGGGTAAGAAAGTCTTGCAACCTTGACTGCCAGCTTCCCAAATTGACTTTTTCAGAAACCCAGCAAAGAAGAATTGAAAATGGCAACGACATGATCACAGGATGCTTGGCAAGCAGTCATGTGTGAACAGGTTGCCAAGCACCCAACTTGCTATCACATGACCATGAGGGTGCTGGGATGGCCAGAATGCCAAGGGCCAGCTATAACCCCCATTTGTTCAGGGGCATTGTATCTTGGAATGGTTGCTGATTGAATGGTTGTAAATTGAGGGGTACTTGTAAATGAATTCCCTGTTTTCTTTTAAATCCCTTCCCACTTAGCTGGTACAGCAGCCAGGAACAGTTATGTTCCTGTTATTGTTTGGTCAAAGTTGAATGTATACTATCAGCAGAGGTGGTATTCAGCAGATTCTGACAGTTCTGAAGAATCGGTAGTGGAAATTTTGAGTAGTTCGGAGAACCGGCAAATACTACCTCTGACTGGCCCCATCCCCATTTATTCTCTGCCTCCCAAGTCCTAGCTGATTGGCTGGATTTTTTGTTGCCCTGTACAGGAGAATGGAGCTGGAAAGCAGGTTAGTAGGGTGGGGAGAGAATGGGGATTTCACAGTATTCTTTGCCTGGAGTGGGTGGGAATGGAGATTTTGCAGTATCCTTCCCCTGCCATACCCATCAAACCACACCGCACCCACCAAGCCACGCCCACAGAACAGGTAGTAAAAAAATTTGAATCCCACCACTGACTATCAGGTCTAGTATATTACAAAATTTCCTTAATTCTTTGTTCTGGAAATGTTAAGAGTTTATAAGACTGAAAACCTACCAATGTATTATAATTATTTTTCAGGCAACTAATGCAGAAGTGTGAGTCGGCATGCATTACTGTGCTTCACATAGTATTGTTGTAAGTCATATTGTAGTTGTATATATGTTTCAGTTACTGTAAATACAAATATTGCTTATAAAATGTTGCTTTGGATACTTGTTTTTGTGTATTTGTACATTGTACACATCTTTGTTTCTCATAGATGTTCACAAGGCATTTAAAAATATAAAGCTTCTATGCTAATTTGGATTGAATTCTTGACATTTGAACTACATTCTTTGGATGCTTTGGTGAATTGGAGATATCAGGGGGCATCTTCAAATGTAAAAACGTTATGTTGGTTTTGTTGATTTGTAGAGCATTGTTTTATCCTCTATCTAACATTGCATTTCAATAGTTGCAAAAACTGTTCATTTATGTAGAAGAATCAAGAACTCAGTCCATTACCTCCCTTTTTACAGGTGGTAGTTCTATATACTGTATATATAAGCTCTTTTGTATTGTTAATGTGTGGGCTGAGCACACCAAGGCTTATTTAAAGATCACAAATTATTTTTCTGCTGTAGAAATAACCATGGCTGTTTCATACAAGAAGACAACCAGGATATTCCCCCTTTGGGCAACATCCAAAGTGAGTGTAATCTGTTGCTTAGTAAACTCCACAGTGAACAGTAAGGTAAGTTGCAATGTAAAAACATCACCAATTCCTAAAAGATCTGTACATGAAGCTTTTTACACTAAGTTACTTTTTAAGTCTCTTCTTCAGGCTGGTAAATCTGTCTGAGAAATAGCAAATCTGTTCAATTTCAGCAGATAAGTTTACTGATTGCATCAGCAAAAACAATTCTATCATTGTATGAGAAGAGCTTATTTAGTCTTTCTATCAAAGAACCATTTCACCAAATAAAAGCTATTCTCACTGTTGTCAAGGCTAGTCTAAATTTTTAAGAACTAAGAATATGTAAATGTGAAGAAATGACTCACTGCAGTATACTAGCCTTAAAGATAAAAAGTCCTTTTTTGTTTCCCCTCAAGTACTGTTACAGCTGAAAAGACAGTATCAATTTTCTGCTA